GGGATCCTGATCGAGAGCTGAGACCCGCCATGCCACCGGCCTGAGCCCTCCCCACGTCACCCCTGCCCCCTCCTTGGGGCGGAGCCAAGAGGGGAGCCAAGAGGGGCTGCGGGGTGACCCCTCTCCTGGGGACCCCCATCTCCTCTCAAGCTCAGACCCTCCCCAGCGCAGCACGGGGTGCCACGCTCTTGATTACGTATGCCTCAGCAAGGAGAGCTTCGTCTCCTCACCCCCAAACACGCACATTTACTAAATCACACGCTGCAATCCACGGATGAAATATTCCCCTTTCTAGAGACAAGTAATTGGAAGTGGAAGCTCTGGTAGTTTCCTCTCACGCCCAGACGAGGCCCGGGCTGAGCAGTGAGTGGAAGCTGGGCAGAGACCTCTGCCCCTGCCTGGGGCTCAGCGTCCTCGGGGAGCCCCGGGGCCAGGGGCCGGCCTCCCGCTGCGGGCAGCACTCGGTCTGGGCAGCAGAGTCCCTCCTGTGTGGCCCAGAGTTCTCCAGGGACGGCCAGCAGCCGGTGGCCAGCTAGGGAGCTGCAGCCAGCGACCCACAGGGGTCAGCACCAGTCGTGACAGTGAGGGACGTGCAGAGCCTCCGGGGACGCCCCTCAGGCCCTGGGATGGCACATGTCTGAGGACGGAAGGGACACTGTCCTAGGTTCTCAGTTCCCAGTCAAACGGACAGGCCCTGAAAGGCTATACAGCTGTCTGCGGTGACTCGTGACAGGCCACGGCCAGAGCCGGGCGTGGGACTGGCGGGGCTGCCCCTTTCCCGAATCCATCACCCCCAGCCCACTGGAGGCCCGAGGGGACCCCGGGACAAGCCGTTCAACAAGCACCGGAGACAGGGACCCCGGGCAGCAGTGGAGATGCCGCAGCCCCCTCGGGGCCACAGGAGGGAGGACCACACAGCACCCGAGAGCGCCCAGGAGCCAGCCGGGGTGGGGGCAGACGCGCAGAGGCAGGGTGAGGCTGGGGAGGTCCCTCTCCACAGCAGCACCCAGCGCTCAGGCCCGCAGGCCCCCGGGCTCCAGGCGCAGGCCTGCAGGGGCCGGCTCCCAAGTGCTCTCACAGCCAGGGTCAGGCTGAGCCGGTGCTGCCCGAGCTGTCCCGTGCTGGGTCCCCTGGTGCCGCTGAGCTGGGCCCCTCGGGGGACTGACCTTGGCTCTCAGGGGCTGGAGCAAACCACCCACCAGTGCGGCCTCCAGGCAAAACCCCAGGGCTTCTGCAGGCCAAGGTCCCCGGCTTCCATCCTGGGGTACCTCTTCCCTATCTCTGGGGGCTGTAACCACTCCCCCTTCCAAACTGCACCTCAAAGGCCCCTCACACCCCAGCCTGCCTCCCTCGGGCCTGCCCCCGCCTGGGGCTCTTCACCAAGCCCACGGTGCCCATGGGGCCGGCCCACGCCCTGTCTGCCTCCCAGCTCCCCCTGGTCACTATGGAGGCCGACGCCTGGCCCCTGCATCCCCGGGAAGGCCGAGAGTCGGGGAGCCGGCCCGGCAGCCGGAGCTCGGAGGGACCCTTCACCCCGCCAGGCCAAGGCCTGCCAGGAGGGCCGGAGGGCCGCAAACACGGGGGACCCAGGGTGGCTGGTGCAGGCAGCCAGCTGGCGGCCACCACGTCCCTGCCAAGTGCCCACAGCCTTCTCGGGCCTGGGGAGCGGACCCCCAAGAAGGAACACCCAGCATAGGGGTGCCATCCCCTCCCCTCCCCCTCCTCCCTGAAAGTCAGCGGACGCGCCGTGCCAGCCCAGCCCCCAGCAGCCCCGGCCCACAGAGGTGGCCCAGACAGCCACCCCCCGCCCAGCCACCACCCTCCTGCCTTTGTGACGTCAGAGCCTGGCTGGGCGCGGCCTCGCGCCGGCCCGTCTAGGTGAGGGTGCCGCGTGTCAGTGGCAGAGGGGCTGGCCTCCTGAGCACAACCAGGCCAAAAGGGAGGGCCCCGGGGAGCAGCCTGGCGCCGGGAGGGGTGGAGGTGAGACCCACACGTCGGTCCCGAGGCCCAGCAGCTGACCGCCTCCTGATACTCACGGGGGGCGGCCTCCTCATCACGGAGGGGGGCCCTGGGTCTGCCTCCCGCGGGCACACGGGAGCCACGCCACACCCCTCCCCTGAGAGAGAGGACCACGGCCCCCAGAACAGGGGGGCAGATCGTGGAGGGCACCCCCGCGTTCCCCGAGCTCCTGCCCAGCCTCTTCCTCACGCCCCAGCGTCTGGCCCAGGCTGCCTCCTTGGGCATGCCCCAGCACCCGGAGCCTCGGGCCGGCAGGGGGCTGCGGGCCCTTCCCGCTCGCTCTCTGGTGGCGCCACCCTCCTCTCCAGCAAAGCCCGGGCTTCAGCTACAGCCCCCCGAGGTCACACGGAAGGAAGCCCCCCGCCCAGCCCAGAGGGCTCCTCTGGGCCCCAGGCCCTCCTTTCCAGCCTGTTCCCCACTCTGCGGGGGGCTGCCTGGGCCTCAGGGCTCACCAGCCGGGCGGCATGCCCCAGGGACAGTGACGCTGCCGCCCCCTCGGGGTCTGACCGGACCAGGCAGCTGGTCCCCACGCCAGCAGGGCTCCACTCCCTCCCCCCACTGCCCTCCGCCTCCGGGCTGGAAGGCAGGGCCCCTCCCGGGCTGCAGTCAATACCAGCCATAGACCTGACAGGGCACCAGGGAGAACACAGGCGAGGAAGGGTCATCGGACCCTCGACCTCCGACCTGCCCCACCTGCCACTCAGCGGAGCTCCAGCGAGCACCCAGTGCCTGGGGCTCGTGGGTGTCGGGGCAGATGCAAGGGAAGGGGTCCCGACTTCCTGCTGGGGGGCGTCCTACTCCTGAGGCAAGGACGGGGACCCGCACAGAGGGGCTTCCAAGGCACTTCCGGCTCTCGGCCCCCCCCACGCCCTTCCGGGGTCCTCCGGCGGCCAAGGGGACAAGAGGCCACCCCATCGCCAACCTTCCCCGCACCCCCGTCTTGGGCCATCTGCCTGGAAAGACCACCGAACTCTTCCCCACCAGGCTGCCCGCCCCCCCCACAGCATCGTTCCCAGAAGGGTTGTGCGTCCGGGCGGCTGGGCAGAGCCTGCGTGGCCGTGGCAGTCCCTGCCTCCCGCCGGCTGGCCGCAGGCGCACACCCTTGGAGCAGAGCACACGCCCGATGCGGCCGGCGGCTCCCAGAGACCCGCGGTGGGCGGCTGGGGTGCCTTCTTTCCAACCCCTGGCCCACTCGATCCCCCGGAAATCCCTGGGTCCAGCTCCTGAGCCCGTGGACCCTCTGCTGAGCTGTGCCCACCCCACCCCCCACGCACACACACACATACAACGCTGGCAGTGTACTTCCAATTCGGAGTTTCCCCAACAACCTCACTCCGCCAGACCCCTGTCCCTGCCTCCTTGGGGACCCTGGAATGCTGTGGCCTGCAGCGTGGGAGAGGCACAGCTGGGACCCTGCTGTTTCTCCTGCCCCCCCACCCTTTCCTGTGCTGTTTATCTTGTCTCCAGCCAGCCCCCGGGGGCTGAAAGGGGTGAGGGGGCGAATGGCGGCACAGCCAAGACACGGGGCCGGGCCAGGCAGGCCTCCTGGGCCACGAGGCAAGCACGTCTCCTCGGCCGCACTCGTCCCCTCAGAGTGTTAAGCTGCAAGAATGCTGGCAGAGTCTCCTCGAAGCCCAGAGGGCTGGCAGGCTTGGGAGAGAGCAGAGCTGCAATTCCTCAGGGCTTTGCAGCCCCAGCACCACGCCGGGGCTGAGGCAGAGGGCGGGCTGGCGCCAGGGAGAGCAGCGCCTACGGCAGCGCAGCCCCTCCTGAGTCCGCCCAGATGCCTTCCCCAGACCCCGGCCAGGACTCACTTCAGTGCAGACCCCTGTCCGCATCTCACCCACTTGGGGAGTCCCCCCCCCCGGGTGGGACTCTGGGGCGGGGGGACGGGCGAGGGCTGCCCCCTGACCCATGCCAGGGCCATCCCCACCCACCTCTGGAGGGCAGGAAGGGAGGGGTCACCTGGCTGAGGTCAGTGGCAGGAAAGATGGGCAGGCTCCCCGGACCCCAAGCTCCCTCTCCCCACCCCTGCTCCTGCCTCCTCCCCGGCCACAGGAAAACAGCCAGAACAGAGCAGGCCCCCACGGGTCTCCCGGATGCGGGGCAGAAGCACACCCAGGCTGGCCAGAGTTCCATTTTCCGAATAAATGGATTTGCACGGTCATATGTGTCAGAACCCCCCCGGTCTACAGAACAGGCAAGCCCTAGCTCCCCCTGGCTCCCCTGGCCCCCCTGGCCCCCAGTTCCTGGAGCAGCCCTCCAATCCTGGACAGGGATGATCCCCCAGCGCCCAGATGCAGAGGAGAGTAAAAAAAAAAGGGGGGAGGGGGTCTCAGAAATGCCAAAAAAAATGGGGCTGGAGAGGGCAGGCGAGAGAGAAGGGAAGGGGTGGGAGGCCCCGGCGGCCCTGACAGCCCCCACATGTCCGAAGTGTCTCTCCCAGCCCCAGCAGCCAGCTCCAAACTTGTTTACTCGTGAGCGTGCTGTGCTGCGTCCAGAAGGAAACAGTTAAACATCCCCGGCGGATCCGAGCCGTCTCTATCTGTCACCTTCCCTCCCGGGCTGAGCACCGAGGCGCCGGCGCCGCCACCGCGGCTGCTGCCAGGGACCCGAACCTCATCTACTTTATCCTACTTGAGTGTGGCCAAACTGTTGCTATTTCGCGGGGGGGAAGAGAGCCTGATTGGCACCCTAGGAATAAGCCGCAGGGGTGGGAGCGGGGGCAGGAGCGGGGCGCCCCCCTCCCCCGTGCCCTCGCCGCGGGCAGGGGGTCCTCTCCCGGCAGAGGCGCACGGGCACCGCCGATCTCGCCTGGACAGGGCCCGAGTCACCTGCACGCGCAGCCCGGAGCATCTCCCGAGCCAGAGCGAGCCTGACGCGGGCCCCAGGCGGACGGGCGAGCGAGCGAGCGAGCGAGCGAGCGAGCGAGAGGGAGCCGCGGCCGAGGGGGCGGCGGGCGGGGAGCGGCGCCGACTTACATGGAAGTGATGTTCCTGGAGATGTCAGTGATGTTGAGGCCGGCGTTCCCCGTGCCGTTGCCCGCGTCCTGCCCTTCCAGGAGCGGGAAGAGGTTCCCATCGTCCGGCCGCCGGCAGCTGATCTCCGTCTTGCTGCAGACGCAATTCGCCGGGCAAGCCAGCACCGAGCCCACATAGTCCAGCCAGACGCTTCCCAGCAAGAAAATCCGCCAGAAACTACACTTGGCCGGGCAAAGAGAGACATCCATCTCCGATCGCTGCTTCTAAAAAAGAGGAGGAGGAGGAGAGGAGAGGGGGGTTGGGGGTGGGGGGGGAGCAGGGGCGAGCTGGGGGTGGGGGGGAAGGAAACAAAGACGGCGAGGGAGGGGGGAGGGGGAGGGGGCCTCTGCCTTTGAAACGCCGTGCGATCAGATGCGAGATCCTTCAGCGTCTGAAACCATCGCGCTGCCGCTGCCGCTGCCGCCGCCGCCGCCGCCGCCGCCGGGTGGGAGCCGCGGGGAGCGCCTAGTGGCGCGGTCTGCCTGGCATGGTGGCCGGCTCGGCGCTCGCCGGCTCTCGCCGGTCGGGGCTGGAGCAGCGAGCCGCGCTCGCCGACTCCGAGACTTTGCAGGGTCGCAACAGCCGGTGGGGAAGCAAAAAAAAAAAAAGGAAAAAATGGTGCTAAAGTCACCAAGTCCCACCTACTGGGCAGAATTAAAACGGACACACCTGCAAAACACACACACACTCAGGCACACTCACACACACACAACGCCCCGAGCCAGGAGGAGGAGGAGGAGGAGGAGGGAGATGCAGCGGAGCTGCGGCGGCCGCCGGAATGGCTCGCCGCGCGCCTGCAGAAATGCCCGAGCGCTCCGAGCCCCACGCAGCCGCCCGGGTCCTCGGAGCGTCTTCCTCGGCGCCCTCCCTCTCCCCTCCCTCTGTCCCCTCCCCACTCGCCACTCGCGGCCGCCTCCCCCGCCCCCCGCCCAGGCTGGGAGCGGCAGGAGAGCGAGTCTCCCCCGCCCTTCCCCGCCCGTCCTCTCCCCTCCTCTCTCCCCACCCACCCACCCACCCACTCGGCGGCTCGCCGCCACCCGCAGCCGCGCGCGCGCGCGCGCCCTCCCGGCCGCTCCACGCCTCGCGGCCCGGCGTCCGCGAGCCGCAGCCTGGGGGAAAGCGAGAGGAAGGGGAAAAGTTGCAGTTGGGATGGCGAGGGTCTGGCCTGGGGAGGCGGAGTCGGCGAGCCGGCCGCGCGACGCGGAAAGGCGCTCTCCCTCCCACTTTTTGGCCCTCGCGCTGCCCGGTTTTGCTGCAATTCGGCCCGCGGGAGGAAGGGACGGGGACGCGGCCGAGGTGACCGCGGAGCGCTCCCCGAGCCCGAGCGGGGGGCACAGGCTCGCCGACAGCGCCGGGAGCGCACAGCAGCCCCGGGGTGGCGCCCCCCGCCGAGGAGGGGACTGCGGACGCGAGGCCCTCTGACTAAATGACACTCGCTTCCGGGATGGAGAGCCCGGGAGCTGGGTTCGGCCGGGAGGGGACTGCGGGGCTCGGCCTGGTGGGTGCCCCCGCGCCCCCTTGGCCGCGGGGTTTTTTGCTTTTGGCCTTGGGCAGGCAGGGAACACGCGCAGAAAGGGCTGCGCCGAAGAACCCAGGTGGCCCCCAGGCGGGCCTTGCGTGCGCGAGAAGCGGCCGGGGACATTGGGATGCAAGGGGCATTTTTTGGCAAGCACGCGGCCGGCACCGCCGGAGGCCGGTTTCTGGGGCTCTCTCGCGTGAGTCGCTCGGGCTGCCGGGCGAGGGGGCGGCGTGCTGCTCTCCCCGGATTCGGGCGCGCAGACCCTCCTTCCCTCCCGCCCACCCCAGCACCCCTTCCTGGTAGGGGCGCAGGGCAGGTGCAGCCAGCCTCGGACACGAGCTCAGATCCCCCACGGGGGAGGCGGGAGGGGTCCCTACTTTTTCCCTGGGTAGGGTGGTATTTTTTTTATTTATTTTAATAAAACGCCAAGTAGGAGCTGTTCGCTGAGAAAGCCGGAGCATTCGCTGTGGGCCAGGAGAAGAAAGGGTTAGAGAAGTCCGGGCAGGCAGACACACTACGGCATTCATTCACCCGGAGAAGAAAGCAGGGCTCTGCTCCCGGCGCTGGGGTGAGGGCAGGCGGGGAGCGCGGACGCGGAATCCAACTGCATTCAGCCGCTGAAAGGGTTCGCCCCCGCCCCCCGCGGAGGCCGACGCAGGTCGGGCAACTTGCGGGCGAGGTGGGGGGGCAGGGGCGCGCAGCCTCACACAGGCCGGGCGCCTGCGAGTGGCACTGCCGCCGTGAGTAAACTTGGGGGGAAAAGGAGAAAGCCAGGAAGGAAAGAACATGTCTATAAAAGGCAGTTTTCCTGACTCCCCCTTCCATTCCGCCTTGGCTTGGCCTCAGGGAGACTTCTCACCCACTGCCAGCATGGCCTCGTCCCCGGGCCGGCACTTCGCCCTCCCACCAGCAGGAGGGGACAGAGAGTGGGAACCTCCTCAGACTCTCACACCAGTCCCCACGGGCCCGAGGCCAAGCCCCGACACCCTGAGTCTCCCGGGGGGAATCTCCCTGCCACTTGGAGGCCATTCTGCCGTGGGCTCCAGAGTACCCGGGAGGCAGGGAAACTGAGGCGCAGTCGGCGGAGGGGGCAGGTGGCCGCGGAGAAACACAAGGCACCTTTCTCAGCCCCTCCCGGGGAGGTGCCCGTCAGCAGGGGAAGCTGACTGCTTGCAGCCCGGCGTCAGGCCTCCGGTCTGGAGGCCCAGCACACTTTTTCCGGCACGAGAAAAGCGATTTTTAACATTTCCAGCAGAGAAGGGGAGGCGTCCATAAGCCAGAACCAGTGAAACCTTGAAAAGCCCCTTTGGAGACAGTGAAAAAGCAGGTTGTGCAGCAGGGCCGCGGTGGAACAAGAAGGCTTTCATGGCGACAGCCAAGCGGGGGTGTGACGGCCCGCTGCGTCTGTGCCGGGGCCACCGGCCTGCGCAGGGGGTGGCGGGAGGGCCCTGCATGAGGCCGAGGGTGGCCTAGGAGCCGGGCCGCCAGGTTCCACTTCTAACCGGAGGCCAGCCACCGCAGCCTTCTGGGCCTCCGCGTCCAAGTCCGTGCAATGGCCACACTGGGTGGCCCTCCCTGACCGGCCGCACCCGCACCACCTGGAAGCGTGTTGGCAACGCAGCCCCCCACCCACACCTGCCGAACCAGAATGCCCACTTTACTGTGTCCCCTGGGGTGGTGCAGGAGCCTTTTAGTTTGGGAAGTACTGAGGATGCTCCCAGCATCCCTGGCAGCTCGACGTCTCTGCCTCCGCGTGGGGCCTGGGCTGGGGCCGCCGTTGAGAAGAGAGGAGGGGTGCATGGCGTGGGTTCCCAGAACACCATCCGGCTGGCAATGCAAGGGGTGGCCCAGGCACAAGTGCTTGGTAAAAGCAGACCTTGGGAAAAAGTGTAGGTGCACCCTGCCCAGTGACCTGTACCTGAGCCTCACTAGTCCATCGGAGAGAGGTCAGATGTAGGCAAAGGCATAGGAGAAAGTCACCTGGCTGGACACCCTGGTCACGGTCAGCGGCGGGGGCCGGGGGGGGGGGGCGGAGAGCTTTGTCTTGTCTTCCGGATGAGAATGCCCTGGGTGACACCCAAGAAGGTCTGTCCCATCCTGCCATTCCCGGTACACAGCTGTCCCTGGGGCCCAGAGAGACTGTGACCCGGCTCAGCACACCACCATTCGGGGCACGGCCACCCCCCTCTCTGCTGCCAGCCACCACCTCAGAAACAGGGAGACTTGGTAGTGCCTCCCCTGCTCATGAGTAGGAGGCAGGAATGACCAAGTTTTTCATTTCATTTTATTTTGTTTTGTTGTTTTGTTTTAACAGAAAGTAAAGGTTCAGAAACCCTTTACAGCAGAGCAGACGCCTTGTGGTACCAGGTGTTTGGAGAAGGTGGGAACATTCCCAAGATTTGGAGGTGGTCTCCCACCCCACAGGCCAGAGTCGGGGGGGCTGCCCCCCAGGGCACAGTGGTTCGACCTTCTTGACACCCAGAGAAGCTGACCATGCGTCTCTTTCCCAAGGGGCGTGTCCCTTCTACGGAAGCCCCTGAGACTTCCCCTTGACCAGATGGTACCAGGGACCCCCAAAGCCAACATTCCATGCCACTGGGAAAGACAGAGAGAGTGGAGACTCCAAGACAAACCAACACAAGACACTGACTGACCCAGGGGTCGCCACTCGTCTGCCTCCCGGATCCAGCCACACCCCCTTTTCCAAGGAACCCAGGCCCTGGAGTCCGTGGGCAGGCTCCCGGGACACAGGCCAGGCCCTGGGCGTTTTGGATTCCCCCACCTGGCGCCATGCCCAGGGTGTCAGCGAGATGTGGGCCACCCCACACGACTCTCCAGTGTGAGCGGACAGGGGACCCCTGCCCTCTCTGTGACCCCATAAAGGAACTGCAGTCCTCGGATGTGACGGGAGGAGATGAGGAAAGCTGGGCCCTGGAGAACTCTCAGCTCCAAGGAGCTGCCGGGAGCTGCTGGCAGGCTGGGACTCGGTCAGAGAACGAGGCCCGGGAGCCCGCGCCGGCCGGGGAAGAGACGGGGCTGCAGGCTAGGCAGAGGTCACGGCCTCCCGAAGGCCAGGAGCCGAGGAGGGCGCTCGGACCGCACGTGGAGAGGGACAGGCCACCCGGGAAGAGGAATGGTCAGGCACCACGCTGGTCCCCGCATGCAGGCAAATCCGAACACAGGCGGCCCCGGCTCAGGAGCCTGACTCAGGCCCTGACGTCTCAGACCCGCGCCTGCCAGAAGGTGGGAGCGGCCAGTCAGGGAACGGGGCCACCCCCACCCCCACCCCACCCTCCATCACAGACACAGACACGGCCCCGCATCTCTGCAGAGCAGCTGCCCCCAGTCACCGACGTCACTCACGCCCGCTGGACACCACGCGCACTCACCCAGTGGGTGGCCCGAGCACGCCTCAGTCCTGCAGAAAGCCAACCCTTTGGCCTGTCTCCTGAGGGCCTACCGCATCCGGTGTCCTTAGCCAGTGCAGCCCAGGCCTGCTCAGCGCCCCGCCTCCCACGGCGCCCTCCTGCCCCCCGGCGGCTCACCCCTTCCCCTGCCCTGGTTCCGACCCCCAGGACGGGGACTCTCAGACCCAGCTCCCCGCTACTGCACCGGGTTAGCCCCAAAACTACATCGGGCTACATTGCCTTGGGCATGCTCCTTAACATCTCCCCTCCTCCTCCTCCTCTGCAGCAC